TATATAAGTAAAATAGCAATGGATCAGTCGAGTCGCTGTTTTATACGGTGCATATGCGTGCGGGCGTAAGCGCTGTCAGTGTAGTCTCATTATCATCGGCGTATGTTTTGTTATTTGTTCTATTCGCAGTGAAGACAGTTGAAGCTCGGAAGGCGGCGAAACGACTGAAACGGGACATGAGAACAAAAAAACCGAATGAAAAAACGGCCGAGGATAAAAAACAAAAAAACATAAAAGCGCACAGCGAAAATAAGAGCGAATCAAGTGGCGCAGCCACAGACAACGCGCCGAAGGACGCCGAAGAAGCGGTGACGCCGAATGCAGCGGGTATGCGCGTGTGCGCGTGGGGTGTTGGTGTGGGGTGTGTATGTAGGGGGGGTAGTGTGTGAGTGTGTGGGTGTAGGTGTGTGTGTGTGCATATATATATATATATATATATATGTGGGTGTAGATGTGTGTGTGTGCATATATATATATATATATATGTGGTGTAGGTGTGTATGTGTGTGTGCATACATTTATATATGTGGGTGTGTGAGTGTAGGTGTGTGTGTGTGCATATTTATATATTTGTGTGTGGGTGTAGGTGTGTATGTGTGCATATATATATGTGTGTGCGGGTGTAGGTGTGTGTGTGTGTACACATATATATATGTGTGTGGGTGTAGGTGTGTGGGTGTGCATCTATATATATATATATGTGGGTGTTTGTGTATGTGTTCGGAGATATATGCACGGGTGGGCGTTAGAGATTCACATCCACGAGATACGTGCAAATGTATATATGCTAGGTCAAGTCCACCCCCATGGACTTGTCTTGTGATCTATTTTTAGAACACCTCCTTGTGCTGGTACTGAGCCTTGCCCGTGCGTCTTCCCACCGATTTCTGCGCCATACTGCCCTTAGTTACACACATGTGCGCGTGCACGATTACCCATTGCGGGTTAGAACCCTAAACCTTAACCTCAGAGCCATCGTTGTCACTGGCATCGGTGTCTGTCCGGTTGAAAGGGCACTGCTGTGAAGCCCTTTTTGATACTTATATTCTTGTGTATATAGACTAGACTACTCTGTTTCTATTTTGGGTATTCTTGTGCTTATAGACTACCCTTTTACTGACCTAATAAGCTGCACCTGGTTGTGACAACAGATTTGTATGCACCTGACCTAATAAGCTGCACCTGGTTGTGACTACAGGTTTATATGCACCTGACCTAATGAGCTGCACCTGGTTGTGACTACAGATTTATATGCACCTGATCTAATAAGCCGCACCTGGTTGTGACTACAGATTGGTATTTATGTACCAGGTTTTGCTACACCCGACCTAATCCCCACACCCGTTTCCTTATTTATCCGCGCAGCGCTGGAATTCCTAAATAAATGGCACACCGACAGAGAAAATTGGAAGTTCCAGAAAGTTCGGAACACGTATATACTCAAAAACATGTACGACCCATATAAGGTGAGTGCTCTGGTTGAATGGATGTGATGCGTATCTGAATTCGATGGTGTGGTGTAGTTTGGAGCGATTGGTGCCAACGTTTGAATCTGTTTGATGACTCGGGATAGAGCTCTAAGCAATGCTTCAACATAACAGGTCACAGCTTGGGAATACGTACACATCATATGGGCACATACACATGCTACAAACACTTGAACATACTATGATTACTGTCACACATACCTCACATGAACACATACACATGCTACAAACACTTGAACATACTATGCTTACTGTCACACATACATCACATAAACATATACACATACAACGAACACTTGAACATACTATGATTACTGTTACACATACATCACATGAACACATACACATGCTACAAACTCTTGAACATACTATGATTACTGTCACACATACATCACATAAACACATACACATACAACGAACACTTGAACATACTATGATTACTGTCACACATACATCACATAAACACATACAAATGCTACAAACCGAACATACTACGATCACAGTCACACATACATCACATAAACACATACACATGCTATAAATACTTGAACATATTATGATCACTGTCACAAATACATCACATAAACACATACACACCCTACCAACACTTGAGCATACTATGATTACTGTCACACATTACATATACAAGGGATAGGTAGTGCGTAAGCATGTCTACACTCTGCTCTGCAATCGCACCACATCCATGTACCTTTCATTCCACTATCTTGTTGCTTGTGTCATGTACCTTTCATTCCACTGACTTGTTGTTGCTTGTGTCTATGTATTCCCCTGATTGTGTCTTGCCGAGTACTTATGGAGTGACCTAGCTTAGTATGAATATATAACCGCGTGCTTGCATACATGAAGTCAATTCGAGTGACTTAGCTTAGTCTGATTATATATTCGTGTGCCTGCATGTATTAAACGTAGGGTTACTTACATACATTAAGTTAACTCGGGTGACTTAGCTTAGTTTGATTATATATCCGTGTGCCTGCATGTATTAAGCGTAGGGTTGCTTGCATACATTAAGTTGAATCGGGTGTCTTGGCTTAGTTTGATTATATATCTGTGTCACTGCATGTATTAAGCGTAGGATTGCTTGCCTCCCCGCAGATACCGAAGGCGTCGTTTAAGATAGTTTTAGAATACCTGGACGGACTCAAGGGCAATGCTCGCACCAAAACACAACAGGACGCCGAAGCCGAGCTCAGCAAATTGGTATGTGTAACCCCAACACAACAGGCACACACACACATATATATATATATATATATATATATATATATATACAGAGAGAGAGAGCAAGTGTGGGTTGGGTTTGTGTTTTGTACCGATCTCTTCGTGCACAAGAGGGTAGAGCCCGAAAGCACTGGACAGTTTACTTGACAGTTAGCTAGTTGTTTGAACGATCCAGTGTGTGCGAGCTGCAGTGCTGCCTCGTGAGGTAGGGCGTTGGTGGACTGCATAGTGTCAAGTGTGTTGTGCACAGAAGTAGTACTGGTGTGTGTGGGTGACCGCATAGTGTTCAGTGTAATGTGCACGGACGTAGTACTGGTGTGTGTGGGTCGTGGGTTGTGTTTTAGGGGTTTCCCGGTGTCGGGCTGAACTGGTCGTGACGGGAAGGCACTACGCATGATACTATAGCTGCAGATAGGGTTTTGGATTTTGGGGTTTTAAGGGTTTTTTATATGATGCAATGAACCGGTAGTGCCTGTGTATTGTGCGTGGCTGCTGTGTGTTGTCTCGTCTGACGGTGTGTTGTACGGTTGTAGTACAGCACTTCCATATTCACGTTTTGTGCGTCTGTGTGTACTGTGGGGTGTAACTTCATTTGCCGATAGTTGCATACGCTATAGAATTGTCTTTCAAATGTCTATAATTCATTGTCAAATGTCTATAATTTGCATCTCAACTGTCTATTGTTGTAGTGACCATGAGTGATCACAGCGAGTATATCGTCTGTGACATGGGACTTATCCGACAGACCATCCATCTTCGAAACTCAACCAGGTTTATGCCCCATTCATCTGATTATCCATCTTCAAAATTCAACCAGGTTTATGTCCTATGATTGTCCATCTTCGAAACTCAACCAGGTTTATGTCTTATTCATCTGATGTATGTTTCTTTCATCTGATTATGTCTTATTTAGATGATTGACGTCTCATTCATATGCGTCACCATTTGTTTTGGCATTGCGTTTTGCAGAGTGAGAAGAGTACAGAGGGTATGACGGACACCGAAGTCACAGTGCACAAGATTATTCTGTACCGCTGCAAAAAGGTCGCACAAAGGACGTCGTTAGAAAGCGAATAAACATGAACAATAAACGGTTTAAAATTAGACAAGAAGCGTTGTTTAAATATATACAATGAGTGATTTTTATATATGATCAATACGCGTTTTAAATATGAACAAGAAGCTTTTGCTTAATGTAAATAATGAGCGTTATATAAAATATATACAAAGAGCAATATGAACAATAAGTGTTTCTTTAAATATAAACAATATGCGTTTTCAAACAATGATCGCTTTTAAAAAATATAAAAGCTAGAAGTGCTTTGTCTTAAATATAAACAAGAAGCGTTTTTTAAATGTAAGCAATAAGCGTTTTGAACATAAACCAGTACGCATTTTAAATTTAAACGATAAGCTTTTTTAAAGTACATATATACAATAGACGCTCTAAATATAAACAATAAGCTTTTTCTAAATATGAACAAAAAGAAAAAATGTGAACAAGAGGTTTGTTGTGTGCCAGACAGTTTCAGGGTATGGAAGAGCAATCCTTACTCCTAGAGTAGAAATCTAATAATGGGAATTGGAGTAGAATAATTTGCTACAACTATTGATATTTTAGATAAGGAAGTATGTAGCAAACTCAGATAAGTATAACATAAAAGGGTGCACAAATGAACAGATGTTAAGAGTTATGATCTGTACAAGTTAAACTTGAACATTGACCAGAAGGTCACGGTAAGATAGCGTGAACCTTAGAAAGGAATAAGTGCATCAACTTAAATAAAGTGGCATTCTTACTGGTAAAGAAGGTGTAAAAGACTGTTCATAAAGATAGGGTGAACAGTCAGACAGTGTAGAATAACGGACTACACAATATGGGCCCTAAGGGGGCAGAAAGAATGTAAGTTGAGGCAAGGCTTATGTGTGAAGTTAGCTACATGATTAGTATAAGTATGTACAACTCTGGTGCAGTACTTATCAGTGCTAACAGGGTTTTCAAATTGTTAACTGAACAATTGAATTTAAAAAGGTTTTGTTGTACGTAATTTGGATTACGTCACATTTTTGGTCCATAAATTGGAGTACTATTTTCTGAGCACATAACAGGTTTATTTTTATATATTTCTTCTCTCAAAAACAATAATCGTTTTTTTAATACAAACAATTTTAAAAGCAATTTAAACATACAATAAACGTTTTAAATTTAATCAAAAAGCAACAATAAGCTTTGTATGAATTTAAACAATAAGCAATAACGTGGGAACTATAGCGAGCATATGATTAGTGAAAAACACACACATGTATGTTCACACACGTATACTAACACACTTGACTATTAACTAGCACACACACACAGTTACACGTATGATTAACAATTAACACACATATACATAGTCACACTTATTTTTAATGTCGAACACACGCACGCATAGTCACACCTGTGACTGATATCCAACACACACATATCTACGGCTATCGACTATTCGTAGTTTATTAGAATCTTCTAGTAGTTTATTATAGTATTTTAGTAGTTTATTATAGTCTTCTAGTAGTTTATTATATTATAGTCTTCTAGTAGTTTATTATAGCATTCTAGTAGTTTATTATAGTTTTCTAGTAGTTTG